AGTCAAAAATATTTAAGAAAATATTTGCAGATCCAACTACACTGAATCTAAGCCAGCCAGTCTACAGTTTCAGAGATATATGCAAGTCCCTTACATACTCTCTCCCAAAGGAGCTGCTGGAACAGCGCTGGCTATTTGAATCTTCATCAGTTGATCCAACAGCGTATTTTGGCATTTTTTAACAGGAAGATTTGGAAGATGATGACACAAAACCCAAAATAACTAACTTCAGGAGAAAAAGTGCACAGAAGAATCTGAAACCTCTTGTTGGGCAAAAGCTACAGTGACAGAGCCTGCCCCCCAATCCAGGGAGGGGTGGGGAGAGACCCAGCTGCAGTTTGGGTACAGGCTGCAGCTCACCCCAAAGCACTGTGCCTCAGAGCACAAAAGTAGGTGGCTGAGTCCTCCAGCTGGGAGCCGTCGATGTTCAGGGTGCTGTTCTTATCCTGGATATTCAGTGCGGCACTGAACCTTCCCTCATGCTTCAGAGTCGCTGAAGCTGTGTAAATCAGCATGACCAGGCTGCCCCCAGGCTTCTGTTGGAACCACTGTGCATATTGCACGCCCATAGAGGTTTTGCACTTCAGGGTGGCGTTTTTTCCCTCCTGGAGACTCAGGAAAGAAGGGCTCTGCTCCACCTCTGCCCCTTTGACCCCTGGATGGAAAGAAAACAACAGACACTAAGATCCCAACGGGCAGTCATCGATGCAGACTCTGAAATTGTAAAATAGCCCAAGAAAGACCATAAGTGTGGTGGACCCACTAGGAGCTCCATGTCAAACTGCCCACCTGGGAACCCAACTCACAGCAAACCTGGACCCACACAAGCCCCAGCAGAATGTCCCACTGTCTCATGATCTCTGGCCGTTTCTCAGGAGTCTTCACCCTCTCGAGGCTGTCAAGTCTTGGAGTCTGGCAATTACAGTCACCAACCACAATGAGTCCACCAGACTCACTGAGCACCAATCCCATCTGAGTCTGACATCATCTGAATAGGAAACCCCACCCACAGTCCCAGGAGACAGCAAGGCTCACCAAACTGTGGGAGCAAACAGCACAGGTGGGTGAGGGGCCCTATTCCCAATATATGAGGTGCTAAAGGTGTTCTTTTTTTCTTAAAACATTTCATTAAGATAAGTGTATGGCTTAGTGTGTGAGGAAGAAAGGATCATACTTCTCAAAAGAATCAGTGTTTCAACTAGGTTAACATTTGCATTGAAAAATAATGAAGATATGAAGCAGAACCTGGGAAGAATTATCTCATTTCTCAAATGGCTATTTTGGCCTAGAATTTAAAGATACAGTTATATGAAAATCTGATAAAGGGAGACTACTTGATATGTTGTATTGCATATTAACTACGAAAATATATTTTCTGAAAGCAGGAGAGTTCTAGAAATTCAGGACATCTAGTTACCCTCTGCATAGAAAATGATTCCAACAAGTGTTGGTGAAAATTAAGGTATGTCCACTCTAACTTTCCCCTGTCCTCTTCGCCCATCAAGTCCTGCACAGCTGATGTGGTCAAATCACACATAGCTATAAAATTATAATCTTTTCCCCTTCATCCTTCTATGTGTGTTTTTTTTAATCCCTTTTTCCTCTGTCTTCATTATTCTTATTCCTTCCTATCTCAGAGGAAAAGGTAGGATATTATTAGTGGTATTAGAATTATTTCCAAGTTCATAAATTTGGGAGTATTTTAGTCCTCAAAATTCTAAAAATTGAAAACAGCTAACAGTTCCAGGCTTGTTGACCTTCCAGGCTGTGTTCAGTGATATTACTCTTCCTGTAGCTCTGCTCAGTGGATCATACTCAGTGCAGATTTATACAGTCTCCAACGTTGTGAAGTGTACACAGAGTGGCAAAACTGGAAACCTGAGGTGAACTTCACAGACACACTGTCCCCTCTTACAGCCTTTGCAACCTGCACTTTGACTGACTCCCATGCTCCTGCTCCCTTCCCTGTTCACCAGCTGGGGCCATCAGGAAGCCTTTGTCTCCTACGGGCTACAGTGCCCCCTGCTGGCTGAAGCCATCAACTGACTAGTTCAGATGCACCAGCTCAGCAGCCACACAGCTCAGCCCCAAACCCCGGGTTTCCTGATAAGGAAAATCAGGTGATACGACAAGAAATTACAGAGTTTTACAGAGCCCATTTCTACTTTCAAAATGTCACTTGAGAGATAATATAGTTTCATCTATTAATGAATACTTAAGATATTGATTCTTTTATCTATAATGTAACACTGTAGAACAACGTTTTTGAACATCCTTTTTTTTAATTAACAGAATCACATGTTTCCATGAACAGAGATTGGGAAGGAGTGGATGGGTGAGCCACATGGATAGTAAGTGAAAAACAGTCCAGGCAGAAGGAAGAACATGGATATATACTCTGAGGAAGAATGTTGTGAGTTCATCTTTTAAATTGTGTTGGATGGACTTATTTAATCATTTTATTAAAGATCATTAGAACTTGAGTTCAACAGCTCATTTTATAAACTCTCTCTGAAATTACTGTCCTGATATCTAACTGATTTGTAGTTTGCTTCAATACCCATAGGTTATTCTAGACAGTAGAATAGTGAGAGAAAAAGTACTCCCAAGGAGAAAGGATGGTATATACAAGGGAAAATATGTTACAGAACACTGGAGGTTTAGGTATATGCATGTATGTATACATGTGTGTGAATAGAGACATGTAGATGCACAGATATACACATATACAGTGATATATAGATGCCCACATGAAATTTTCAATCATTGTTACTAGGTCTTATGCTCTGGACATTTGTATGATTTGTGAATTAACCACAGACTGGGAGACAAAAGATCAAAGACTGTGCTAGAGCCACAGTGGATCAAATACTCAGAGGCACTTGCAGCCAGGCCCCTTCTGCTGCTCGGTTTGCGCTCAGCTCCCCCTGCAGCTTCTGTCACTGTGTCACTCAGGGCACAGTAGTACACAGCCGAGTCTGACGCTTGCACTGAGGCTTTCTTCAAGTGGAAGGAATTAGGGCCTTTCTTGTAGGTGGCTTCAAAACCTCCTTTTTCATCCTTCTGATTGTCTTTCTGGGCTTTCAGCAGGAGCTCGAGACCTTTTCCAGGACACTGGACATACCAGAAAAGGGTGGGGTATCCTGTGGCTGAATAAGTACAGCTCACAGTCAGGGAGTCCCCTTCGGAGAGTGTCACTTGGCCTTCCTGCGTCACATTGTCTCCATGTGTTTGTCCTGGGAAAAATAAAAGACCATGAGTCATCCTGGACATAAGGCTCTTGGTAAAATTATGGTTCAAGATTTTGTTGACATAACATGGGGGAGGATACAAAATTTAGCAGGCATTTACTTACCAAGCACTAAGAGCACCACAGTCACTAAGCCTAGAGAAGAGTTCATCTCCAGAGTGTCACCTAAATGTTCTTGATTCTCAACAAGAAGGAGTGTTGCAGCCACAGTGAAATGATCCACCCAGGCGTGCATTTCTCTCAGGAAATATGTGAGCGCTGAGAAGCTGCGCCCCCTGGTGGACAGAGTCTGAAAAGGGCTGTGTGTTTCCTGGACTCCTCCCAAGTCCTGGCTTTATTAACCAGGCCCAAGTCAAGCTATGCCAGAGGCTTAGAACTCTGAATCCAAGCTAATCATCACTAATAATCAGGAAATACAAATCAAACCCTGAATGAGATACCACCTTAATCCCATTAGGGAGGGAGAGAGAGAAGGAAACAGAGAGAAAGACAAAGAAACAAAAATCCTCAAAAAATGATGATAAGATGTACAAAAACTAGACCCTTGTTCACTGCTCATGAGACCTGCAAGTGGCAGCTACTGGGAAAAGCAGGTGGTTAGTACTCAAAAATTAAAGAATTGCCATACGAATCACCAGTTACATTTGTGGGTATAAACCCCGAAGTTGAAGTAATATGAGTATATACTCAAAATGCTTAGAAGTTTGCCCATACTCACAGCATTACCACTTAAAATTGCAAAAAAAAAAAAAAAAAAGTTGAAAGCAACTCAAGGGTCTATCAACAAAGGTGGGACTACATGCAGCCTATTAAAGGCAGGAAATTCTTACAACATGGTTAAAAACATGAGAACATAATACTACATGAATCAAGCACAAATGAAAGATTTAACAAAATATATGGTTTTTTTTCCTGTTAGTATGTCTTATGTGAGTTTAATGTTCAGACCCATACAGAGAAGCAAAGAAGATACAGAAGAATTCTACCTCTCCTAGATAACATGTTCAATAACTAATTATTGTATAAATTGATAAAAAAACTCAAGAATTAAGCATATTTTGGTTAAATTTTTTAGTCTATTCTGACTCTCCTTACTCAACGTGTCTAACTCAATCCAAACCAAATGAAAGATTTTTATGTGATTATCCTTGTTTTTGAATGTTTGATCAACGTTCTGTATATGTACAAATAAGCTAATGATTTAGGAATAAAGGTGTTATTAATGACTGATAATTCTGAGCATAGTCTCTAAACCTGAGAGCTACTGTCTTAGAATGAGTGTTTTCCATCTCACCTTACACCTGTGAGGACACAGACAAAACCATGTCATGTCTGTAATGAGTCCCCTGCCTGGCTCCCATGGAAGGCAGAGGTTGGGTAAACCTCCCCCAACATGCCTCTCACCTGGGCTCACCCAGGGCACAGAACTACACTGCAGAGTCCTCCCACTCTGGGGCTGATGACAAGGCTGATGGACTTGCTGGTCTTCTGGAAACCCAGTGAGGAGACGTCTGTTGCATTTTGCTGGTTAGAGAATCCTGGTGAATAAGGACAGTCATGTCCTGATGGCCAGACATCTTGCTCCAGAGTAAGGTATGACTCCCAGAACTGGTGTCATAGATGACCTCAAGTCACAGCTTCTCTCTCCTGCTCTGACATTGCTGTTGGGTTGCAGTCACCATCTGGGCAATTCTGCCTCCTGGAGAGGAAAAGGCAGAATCAGGGATTTAGGAATAAGTAATGTGGACAGCCTGCTACTCTGTTCCCGGGTACCAGCCACACAGACCTCTACCCCAAGTCCTCAGGTCATGGAGAGGGCACATTCCCACACTGGCCACCCCTCCCTGCCCACAGGAACGCCAAGGCCACCTCCAGAAGCCTGGGCAGCAGTGCGTTTCAGTTCTTCCAGCAGACAGGAAGGAGCGTGCCCTTCCTCAGTGTCGGCTCTGCACTATGAGGTGAGCCCGCCAGGTGAGGGTGGGTTTGCTGGTTTGTGCGGCTGCCCCAGAGCAGAATTAGGCCCGGCAGGTTAGCGGGGTTGTGTCAGTTTCCCTGTGTGTGGAGTCCCTCCCGCCCAGATTGCCTGGATGAACCAACTCAATTGAAAACAGTACAGGTGAAAATATATCTGTGGTGGCCCTCCCTGGTGGCTCAGCGCGCTGAAGCTCAGCACTGCAAGCAGCCACAGTCACTCCATTGAGAGTTCGAGCACGCCCAGGAGCTGACCCACATGGCACAGCAGACCTCTCCTCACCTGCCCACTGCTCCCCTCAACAGAACCCCTTCATCCATCTACCTGTTCTTCTCCCCACTCTGTCTCTGAAAACCCCAACCACCCCCTGCACCTCTGGCCTGTACCCCAGTTTTGTATGCATAAATAAATGAATCTTTAAAATATACATATGTGATATTTTTAAAAAGACAAAAACATAAAAGAACAAGGATTATAAGAAATTAGGGATGGGGACCCTCCCTGGTGGCGCAGCGGGTTAAAGCACAGCACAAAGAAGCTAAAGCCACTTCCGCATGAGTTTGATTCCTGCCTGCCCCGGAGGTGACCACATGGCGCAGCAGACCTCTCCTGACCCGCCCGCTGCTCCCCTCAGCAGTGTACTTCGTCGATCTGCCTGTTCTGCTCCCTGCTCTGTCTCTGGTGACTCCTCTCACCCTCCGCATCTCTGCCCTGTACCCCAGTTCTGCACGAATAAATAAATAAATCTTTAAAAAAAAAAAGAAATTAAGGATGGAAGAAAGTGTGGCTAAAAATGACAGAACAAGAGAGTTCTTGGAAGCAGAGAAAATCCATTCAGGTGTTGATGGTTATCTGATCTTCCACATATTTTAAATATATAATACACACTTGAGTATATAAATGTTAATAGTAAAAATTCAAATAAAACTGAACAAAGAGTCATTTTTCTCTACGATTTTATAACAAACAGTAATACCTCTGAAAAATAAAATACTTGATGTGGTTTCTATTTTTTGACAGGACACCACCAAAATGCATTTATTATTTTCTCATCTTGGACAAGAAAATCACCAGCATTGCCACCTTACATAAACAAAATGACTTTTTTTTATAAAGTCATGTGCCAGTTCCTGAAAATTATGAATGTTGGCTTATTTGGAAAATCAGATATATATGATTAAGACAGTGATCCTGAGATAGGAAGTTTATCCTCAAGCAATCACACACATACTTTTCGGAGGAGGTGATGGGAGATTTGGTGACTGAAAAAGAAAGCAATGTAGAGTTTGGGAGTGTTGCAACCACAAGCTGAGAAATGGCAGAAGCAAGGAAAGCTTCAGTGAAAAAATCAAATCCTAATTATACTACAATATATAAAAACAGTAAACCAATATCAACTAAAACAGTAAACCAATATCAATATATAAAAACAGTAAACCAATATCAACTAAAAATATCAACTATGTGGGTGTCATTTACTTGTTCAAGTTCATGTTGTAGATATATTTATATTTAATATGTAGTATTTTGTAATCATGAAAAATATGCAGTGTTTTAAAGACAAAAGTTAAAAGGCTCAATGCTGTGATAGTGTCAGTAAGGATTTGTGGATAAGAGCAGAGTCTTAATAGCAAATGTAAAATTAACTTTAACGTCTGAATCTCAAAAAAAGCATCACCAAAACCCTATAAGAATCCACTCACAAAAATAAGTGAGCAAACCATTCTAACCCTTCTGGATCATTCTGAGCTGACCTTATCGCGTGCTCTGACGTCTAATACACTAGTTCCCCCGGCAGACAAACACCGCAGAGGCTGGGCTTGGCGGGAGGGCGGGGCGAGGGGAGGCTGCGCGCACTTTCAGTGCGGGCTGCGGGTGCCGGGGCTGCACTGTGCCCGCTGCGCAGAAGTACACGGCCGAGTCTCCCACCTGCGCGGCTGGGATGAGCAGCGAGAGCAGTTGCGCTTTTGTATCCAATAAGACAGTGTATCTAGGTCCTTTATTATCACTTCTAGGTGAACGAATGTATATAATGAGCTGGAGACCTTTTCCAGGTTCTTGCTTGTACCAGGGGAAGTAATCTGAGGCGCTGTCTGAATAGGTGCAGTTGAGGACAGCGCTGCTCCCCTCCTGGACGCTCAGGGTGGAAAGCTTCTGCTCCACTTTCTCGCCCTGGCTGAGCCCTAAGGAGAAAGAAAGTCAGAGAAAGGTTTCTCAGGTCAGACCGCCCCAGGATCTAGTTTTCTTTTCAGTAGTAACCACGTAGAACTAAATGAAGCCTCTAAGCCATTCACCCTCTTAGTTTGCTAACGACTATCCTTGAATATATGTGTTCCCCGTAATCCCTCGGCTCACAGTCGGTCTGCAGCCACAGGAACGCCACCAGAGCGCGAGTGGACGTCTTCATGGTCCCCCAGGAGCAACCACGCGCTGCCACCTCCACCAACAGCTGCTTCTACCACCAGACAGTCCTGTCTTCTCCAAAGGATCGTAGAGGTTTCCTCACATGAGCTACCCTGCCAATTACAGAAGGGCTCACTCCCCTGTGAGTCTGTGGTTCCAGAACCCACTGACAGGAGCACTCCCGCCTGCCCCCCCAATCCCACAGTGCCCACAGCGCAGGGGAGCACTGCCATCTAGTGGGCACGTGCTCAGCCGCTGGAGTCTGGTGGAAAGGTGACAGGGACTGTGAGGGGCTCAGGCACACAAAGACAGCAAAGGTCAACTGAACTAGGTCAAGGATCAGACACTAAATGCACAGTATGACCGTGAAAGTCAGGGGTTGTGTCTCTGCACACTACTCAGTCATTGTGGATAAGTGGAAAGAGATGGGTGCTGTTGGTATTTAGCCAATGCTGGGCTTGGTTTTCATGTTTCAATAAGGAAGGCACCAGAACTCAGTCTTAAAGAAAGAGAAATTAATGTTTGCCTTTCGTCTAATCAACTACCCTCATTTTCTGCTATTGAGAAAAACTTTCAAAAACTACATGTAAGCCAAAGGCCAGAGAAAGAGTTAAGACCACTCAATATTTCAAGTGCCTGTTACCTTAGACTCTGTTCTGCTCATGAACTTGCTGTTTTCAGAGCATGTTCAATACCAAGATGTAGCATCTTCCTTCAATAAAGGTGATTTGTAATAAGACATAAGCAATCATATCTCAGTGACAAGGGGTCAAGAGATAACACAGTGGATTATTGAATTTTTATTAGGAAATAGTTGGACTCACAGAGTTTAGATTTGAAATGAGATGTCTGACATGCTTTAAGGAATCTATTCCAATATGATGGGTCTTATATTCTACAAAATATTGAAAGAAAGTAGAAATTTTCTTAGAAGAGTAGATAAACTCATGTATAAAACATAACGCTACATAACTTTTACAGTCGCTCTTCTTTTTTTAAGATTTTTCTTAATGCATTCAAGAACAAGGGTACAGTCCAGGGGTGCAGGGATGGGGGACAGGAGGACTCACCAGACATGGTGGAGAACAGAACTGGAGGACTGACCAAAAAATACTGCTGAGGGGAGCAGCAGCAGACAGATCTGTTTGCCATGTGGGTCAGCTCCCTGGCTGGGGCTGGCTCTCTTACTGCAGTGGCTACAGGTAGCCTCACAGTGCCAGGCTCTACCCTCTGAGCCACCAGGGAGGGTCCCTACAATTGCTCTTCTGATATCAAAGAGAAAACATGTCCTTAAATAAATGACTGACGCCCATCTTTAGTGAAAATTCCTTGCCTGTCCAGTGGTCATTGCCAGCTCAATGCCAGATACTATTGTTCTTCTTCCAAACTCCTCTATAATGTGCCTCCCCCAAAATATTGGTAATATTACTCAGTAGCACAAACTCCAGAATCATTTCCATCTGCCAAAAACCCTTTCTTGTCTACCTTAATGTAATTGGTAATTTCTGAGTAACTTGTTCGAAAATAAACAGGCAGTCTAAATAATTCCTGTGTCTGCCACAGAATAGCACAAATCTGTAACTGACCCCCAAAGAACAGTTCATGACACATGATCCCTGGAAACCAAGACTCCCTCATTTCCAGTAGAGGAATCTTCTTTCCTGTCATTTCTACTCACTGGCCCTTTGGAGCTGTGAAGAATAAATATAACCCCTCACTCACATTTCATACCCTAAAGACTTAAGGGTGATGAGAATCACAAACCAACATACACACCAGTGTTTAAAATATTAATTTTGTGTATTTATATTTATCTAAGACTTATCTATTCTACAGATCTTCCTCTCAACCAACCTCCATGGGATAAAATTCTCATGGAATTTCCCATTTTCATCAGGCAAAGTTTTTTCTACTTAGAGTGATGCTTTGGGTCTGCATTTGCCCTTTCAAGTTTTTGTATCATGGTCAATTGAATGTTATAATTGGAATATTCTGTGCTCAGCACAGTGTTCCATGTACTAACTTCAGCACAGGTAGAGCAGGCCCTGAGCAAAAGCTACTGTCTCGTGATTATTTCAGGAATATTGTGGCTCATCACCCAAAGGTCTTGAGCTGGAAAGTCCCTTCTAGAACTTCCACAGACTGCCAGCTGCATTAGGACAATGCTCCCCTTAGTCTTTCATTCCAGGATCATTTTTATAACAATGTATTCCTGATGCTCAATATTCATATGAATATCTTGCCTTCAAGAGATGTGTACCTGGGAAATAAATATTTTTACTAAGTCTAAGAAATGCCAAAACTCTGTACAGTGAGTGTTGAGCACAGCTCCAGCACCATGGGTGATGAACTGGCAATAAAATATAAATCTCTCTTCAAAACTATTTTCATACATGAAAAATAGGATATATAATGCTAACAATATAACTTTACAGATTGCAAAAAGAAAATTGGGGGATCACATTTTTTAAGGAACTTTTATTTTTTACATCATTCCTCATTTTGTGCCTTTTTCCATCTCAGTTCTAATCCCTGTGGCTTCCCACCACCACTTCACCCTTGTGCCATCAGCATAGTCCCCTGTACCTTTCCCACCCCATTTTTGGTCCCATTCCCCACCCCACCCCCATAAAATGTCTCTGGTATATAGTTGTTCATTGTTTTTTATTTTTTCTTTATTACAATTGCTTTTGTATTTTTCTTTTCCCTAGTCCCTTATGCTCCTGCTATGAGTGAAACCATCCAGTATTTTCTTTATCTTTCTGACTTATTTCACTAAGCATGATCCCTTCCAGCTCCATCCATGTAACTGCAAAAGGCATGCATTTATCTTTTTGATTGCTGAGTAGTATTCCATTGTGTATATATTTCACATCTTTTTAATCCAGTCGTCTAGTTTTGGGAATTTCGGTTGACTCCATGTCTTCCCTATTGTAAAAAGAGCAACAATAAGCATGGGGGAGTAGATGTCCTTTTAAAACAATATATTTTATATATATTTATATCTTTGGGTAGATACCTAGGAGTGGGATTGCTGGGTCATATGGAAGCTCCATTTCTAGTAGTCTGAGAAACCTCCAAACAGCTTTCCACAGTGATTGTAATAGTTTGTATTCCCACCAGCAGTGTAGGAGAGTTTCTTTTTCACCACATCCTGGCCAACATTTGTTGTTGCTAGTGTTTTTGATATGTGCCATTCTCACTGGTATGAGGTGGTACCTCATTGTGGTTTTAATTTACATTTCCCTGATTATGAGGGATGTTGAACATCTTTTCACAACACCTGTTGGCCATTTGCAATTCCTCTTTGTATAGGTGTCTTTTAAGTTCTTCTGCCTATTTCTTGACTGGGTTGTTTGCTTTGTTTTTGTTGATTCAAATGAGCTCTTTGTGTATCTTCATGATCAGTCCCTTATCCACTGTATGGAGTGCACAGACATTTTCCCATTCAGTAGGGTGTCTCTTTGTCTTGGTTGATGTTTCTTTTGCTGTGCAGAAGCTTTTCAGTTTCATGTAGTCCCATGTGTTTATCTTTTCCTTCATTCTCTTTGCTTTGGGTAAAGAGTCTTTTAAAATGTCGTTGAAATGTCTTGTAGTGTTTTACCTATATTTTCTTCTATAAATTTTAAGGTTTCAGGTCTTGTGCCCAAATCTTTTCTCCTTTTTGAGTTGATTTTCATGCATGGTGTGAGGTAATGGTCTAGTTCACTCTTTTGCTTAGGTGAGGACAATTTTCCCAGAACCATTTGTCAATCAAATTGTCTTTGTCCCATTGAATATTTTTATAATAATAATTGGGGATTTTTGCTAGAGGGCTATCTTGACAATAGTAAGATTTCTCTGGGTTGCTTTTGCAGAATATCAAATTTTAAATGTTAGTAACTTTATATCAACCAATATAACTGAAGAGTAATTGGTACCATTGGTAAATGCAAGATTGCAAACAGAACATTTGATATTTAAGATATTAGGTTGATGGCCCCAACACCAGAATTCTTAAGAATATTACATATGCTATGGCAACATTGCATAAATATCCACTAAATTAGTTTGAAATAAAAGAAAATCTACCCTGAGCTGTCTCTGGTCAAACAATGTTCCTACAGATGATTTAACTCTTCAAACCAGTTTCATGTGAGAATTCAATTTTAAATGTAAACATGTACATTGACATTTCAGTGCTTCTGACATTTATGTAATTTGTGTTGAGTGTATGACAAGTAAAATGTTGCTTCATGATCTATGTACATTTTATCCCTGCTTTCACATACAAGGAAAATTAAATTATCAGTGCACTAATATTTTGTTTTAAATTCCTTCAAAGTTCACATGAAATGCTGATTTCCACTTATGCCATTAACTTTCTTTTCTATTTCTAAATCTACAGATATTTACTTTCAAATATTGTAGCTACTTCTAAAACCAGAATTTCTAATCTTTGGAGAATTCTAATTTCTCTCAAAAATTTTATTTCAACGTTCATGTGTACAACATTATTCATAATAATTATATAAACAGGCCATTCATGCCCTCTCCTTTCGACCTTGCAGAGACACAAACATGCCCCCCATCCCAGAAAGGGGTGGGGCTGAGGCCCAGCTGCAGTTTGGGTGCAGGCTGCAGCTCACCCCTGAGCACTGTGCCTCCCCGCACACAGGTAGGTGGCTGAGTCCTCCAGCTGGGAGCCCGCGATGTACAGGGTGCTGTACTTATCCTTATCCTCAGTGTGCAGTGCGGCACTTAACCTTCCCTCCTGCTTTGGAGTCACTGAAGTTATGTAAAACAAGGTGACCGGGCTGCCCCTGGGTTTCTGTCGGAACCACTGCACATAGCTCACGGTGTTAGGAAATTTGCAACTCAGGGTGGTGTTTTCTCCCTCCTGGAGATTCAAGACTGAAGGATTCTGCTCCACCTGCAGTCCTCTCACACCTGGGTGGGATGAAAAGAACAGACATTATAATCCCACGGGAAGTCACTGGATGCAGACTCTGAGCTTGTAAAATAGCCCAAGAAACACCATGAGCATGGAAGAATGCTAGGAGCTCCCTGTCAGTGTCCCTTCTTTTTCAAACTGTCAGCTGTGGTGCCTTCCCCAACCCCAAATCTGGTAAGGCCCCAACTCACAGATAATTTGGACCCAAAGAAGCCCCAACAGAGCATCCCAGTGTCTCATGATCTCACTCTTGTTGCTGGGGTACCTACACCCGTGCTCTGGAGGCTCTGAGTTCTGGCAATTACAGTTAACAAGTTCCACCAGATTCACTGAGCACCAATCCCATCTGAGTCTGTCATCGCCTCAACAGGAAACCCCACCCACAGTCCCAGGGGACTGCAAGACTCACCAAACTGTGGAAGCAAACAGCACAGGTGGGTGAGGGGCCCTATTCCCAATATGGTATAAAGGTTATAAAGGTGTTCTCTGTTTTCTTAAAACACACTTCATTGAAGAAACATGTATAGGTTAGTGAGGAGAGAGGATCATACTGCTGAACACAGTAAGTGTCTCAACTGGGTTAACATTTGCATTGAAAACTAATGAAGCCTTTGAAGCAGAGTCTGGGGAGACTGCCCCCACTTCCCAATTCTATATTGTCCTAAATAATAAAGATTCAGTTCTAGGAAAATTCTGTCAGGGAGATTCTCTGATATGTTGCATTGTGTGCTAAAGAAGAAAATACATTTCCCAAAAATCAGGAGCTTTCTAGAAGTTCAGTAGATATGTTACATTCTGCATACAAAATGACTCCCACAGTCATTGGTTAAAAATTAAGAAAAAATTGGTAAAAATTAAGATATATGTATACTAATTTCCCATCTCCTCTTCTCCTACAGTCCTGACCTGCACAGCTGATTCTGGTCAGGAAGCACATTGCTGTCAAACTGTAATCCTCTACCTTTCCTGCTTCTATTGGTGTTTCTTTTCTTTTTTCTTGTTTTATCCCTTCTTCTACTGTTGCTGTTAGTCTTATTCCTTTCTCTTCCAGTGGAAGTAGATGAAAAGTTAGACTATTTGATATTTAATACTACTAGAATTATTTCCAAGTTCTTGGATTTTTTGTTCTTTTATAAAAATTTTTTTCATTGAAAACAGCTAATGGGGTGGTGTTCTGTTGACCTTCCAGGTTCACCTGCCCAGTGTTGTTCTTGTTCCTGTACTTAGTCAGAGAATCAGTCTCATCACAAATTTATGGAGTCTGGGCTCCAGCATTATGAGGTGTACACAGAGTGGCAAAACTGGAAACCTGAGGTGAACTTCACAGACACACTTGTCCCCTCTTACAGCCTTTGCGACCTGCACTTTGACTGACTCCCATGCTCCTGCTCCCTTCCCTGTTCACCAGCTGGGGCCATCAGGAAGCCTTTGTCTCCTACGGGCTACAGTGCCCCCTGCTGGCTGAAGCCATCAACTGACTAGTTCATGAATACTTAAGATGTTGATTCTTTTATCTATAATGTAACACTGCAGAACAATCTTCTTGAACATTCTTTTTTTATTAACAGAACCACGTTCCACGTTTCCAGAAACAGTGATTGGGAAGAAGTATATGGATGAGCCACATGGATAATAAGTGAAAAACAGTCCAGGCAGAAGGAAGAAAACTCTGAGAAAGAATGCTGTGAGTTCATCTTCTGACTATTGTGTTGGATGGACTTAATCACTTCATTAAAGATCATTAGAACTTGAATTCTACAGCTCATTTGATAAACTCTCTCTGAAATTGCTGTCCTGATATCTAACTGGTATGTAGTTTGCCGCAAGCAGTCACGTAGGTAATTCTAGAGAGTAAAATAGTGAAAGAAAAAGAGAAGAAGTATGTCCAAGGAGAAATAGTGGTATATACCCAGGAAAAAATGTCATAGAGCATTGGCTATTTAGGTATATGTATGCATGCATGCATGTCTGTGTGTATGTGTGTACACACACACATGTAGATGCACATAAACACCTATATGGAGACACCCATATATAATGTAAAGATAGTTCCCTTTAGGTCAGAAGTCCAATATATTTTCTATTTCAGCAAACAGAAAAGGGAAATTTTTATCAATGCAACAGAACACAAACCACAAAATGGGATTTCGGGGGAGGAGTAGAGCACAGAGAGCAACAACAGAACATTAGAATTGAGCCCAAATGTATTAATCACAACTTAATCATTAATTCAAATCTGCTTAGTATATAAGACATACCAGATTTTAAGTTTTTATTGGCAAAATTGGTGGGTTGTTAAACAGCATATTGAATGCTAGAAATGTATTTTTTTAATAAAAGGATTAAAGATACAGCTCTTGGTTAAAGTTGTTTAAAAAGCACCATGGTAATTGTCTATATAACTTGACTGTGCTAGGGGATGAACAGAGAGTTGACAAAATATCACTTGAGGGCATGTCAGTCTAGGTGTCCTTAGTGTGGGTTAGTGTTTGACTCACAAGTCTAATTCACCCTCATAAATCCCATCTACTCAGGTCAAAAAAGCAGATAATCAATCAAAAAGGCAGAGAAAGGGTAAATTCTTCCTCTACTGATAGTGAAATTTCCATCTTATCCTGCCTTCAACCATCACCACTCTCAGTTCTCAGATCCATCAGCTCAAACAGCCTTAAGGCATAAGCTTACCATTCCCAAGTATTTTTATTCTGACTTAATTACATCATCATCCATCTCTATATTCATAGATCAAGACCTTAAAATTTTTCTAGATGCACACACACATAAACACACACACAAAATTAAATTTATTACATGAATTGATCCATGTGAAAATAGCAGCCAAGAAGTACTATTTTCAACCTGAAAATCAATAAATTATAAGAATTTTAAATATATATGTATCCAATATCAGAGCACCTCAATAGAGAAAGCAAACATTAGCAGAACCAGAAAAAGAAATAGAAAGCAATGTAATCAAAGTAGGACATTTCAATGCCCCACAGACGATCAGCAAGGAAACACAACACTTGTATAAAATATAGAACAAATGGAATTAATAGGCATATAAAGAATATTGCACTCAATAGCAACAGAGTACACGTTCTTCTCAAATACACACAGATCTTTACAAATCACCACACATTAGGTCATAAAAGAGCATTAACTAATTTAAGAAGACTGGTATCATATCAACTCTTTTCTTTCCACAGTGGGATGAAAATAGACATAAATAGCAGAGAGCAATCTGGAAAATTCACAAATATGTTTAAATTATACAACACAAACTTGAACAACCAATGAGTCACAGAAGAAATTAAGAAGAAAATTAGAAAATATCTCAGGCCAAATGAACACAAAAATTTATCATACTATTTCTATGAAACATAAAATGTAGCAAATGCAGTGCTAAGAGGAAAGTTAATGGTCATAAACACCTACACTAAAAAAGATTCCCCAATAACAACCTAATTAACAACTCAAGGAACTAGAAAAAGAACAAGCTAAGCCTAGGACTTAGAAAGGGAGAATGAAAATAATTAGAAGAAAATAATAAGGCAATGGAGAAATCAATAAGTTAAGCATTGTCTTTTGAAAAGAAAACATAGAAGAAAAGTGTTATGGCATTGATTTGACAGTGATGATAGATATAACACCATACATATAGGAAACAGAAGCAAAATGTTGGCACTACATCAAACTAAAAATGTTCTCCACAATCAAGGAAAAAATCAATAGCACTGGACTCTCCCTGGTGGCACAGCAGGTTAAAGCACAGCACTAAGAAGCTAAAGCCACTTCAGCATGAGTTCAATCGCCAGCCCCCCCCCCCCAGGTGATCCACATGGCGCAGCAAACCTCTCCTGACCCGCCTGCTGCTCCCCTCAGCAGTGTACTTTGTCAGTCGGCCTGTTCTGCTCCCCACTCTCTCTGGTGAATCCTCTCACTGCCCCTGCACCTCTGGCCTGCACCCCAGTTCTGTATGCATAAATAAATAAATCTTGAAAAAAAAATCAATGGCACTGAAAGTCAAACTATAGAACAAGAGAACAAATTGCAAACCACATATATGGAAAAGAGATAATATCAAAATAAACTTGCAAGGGATCACCACACTAAAAACAAAATAAAATAATGAATTGATTTTAAAAAGAGAGATGATGATAAGAATAAACAATAGTCCAAAGAACATACAAAATATTGTGAATAAATCTCAATAACATTAACTACCAGGGAAATGTCACACCTGTCAGGATGACCATTATCAAAAACAAGACACAAGTATTGTCATAGTCACTGAAAGCGATCTCACTTGAGTTCTTATTGGTAAAAAGCCTATGTATGTAACTTGATATGTGTACGTGGTCAGGCTGAAAAAAAAAGGCCATTGTTCATTATTTAGACAAGAGTCCATTCTTCAATTATGCTTTTCACTCCTCTGTTTCAACTTGAATATCAGCCACATCCAATATCTGATGGACCAAAAAAAGAAACAAGGAAAAATAATATGTTTTCAATGTTCAGCTTCCATACAAGATTCTGTTTTCTCCTTCCTTCTCCCCCACTCCTATTTTAATTAGAAACCAGAACCTCTGAGACTTGACCCACCTAGCATCTCTCCTCCATTAATCTTTCAGAAAGATTAATGGAGAGGTAAAGTCTGCTACACTTTACCTCTCTAGAAGTATGACAAAACATATCAATGTCTTCCATATTTGGCCTCGAGCCAAGAGAAATGCAAAGACGAACAAGACACTTTATGTTTGTCTGGTTTTCTTTTCCAATTACCTTGATGATGTGTGAGGAACTCTATTTCATCTGGTTTTTTGGCAATTTTATTATGAAATGAACAGTGAGATATGAGGAATAATTACTTCTAGTTATGCTCTGGACTTTTGTATGATTTGTGAATTAACCACAGACTGGGAGACAAAAGATCAAAGACTGTGCTAGAGCCACAGTGGATCAAATACTCAGAGGCACTTGCAGCCAGGCCCCT